CACACTTCCTGTGCACACTTCCTGTTAGTCCGGCCGGGTACAGGAGACAGCTGCTCTCTGTACCCGCGGACTATCAATGCTGCAGGGCTCGGCCACGCTACAGCAAAGGAAGCTGACAGGAGGGAGCGCTCCCTCCTGTCAGCCTCTCCTCAGGCTGCGCCCGGGCGGTGCGGTCCGCCCTCATGGACGCACCGCCCGGGCAAAGCTGCAGCCGCCTGAGGCTCTCTACAGAGCGCTCGGGCGGCTGCAGCATGGGGGGGGGCGGCGGGGCTGGCCATGGCACCCCCCACCCGGCTGGCACCCGGGCGACCAACTCCACCCCTTAGTACGCCACTGCCTAGAGGCACTGTTTCCTGCAGGCAAACCAAGTGGCTATTACACACAATGTAGAGCAAGTATTAACCCTCACTAAGTGACACTAGGGGCAAAGGTGACTGGAGCTAGACAATTTAATCTGGGACTAAAGTATAGATCTCTCCATTAATGATACAAGTGAACCCTGGTCAGTATTCATCTGTATAGAGTAGGAGGAAAATCAGGAAAAACCTCTTCCAAGCTTGCTGCCTGGAAGTCTAGCTGTAGGAATCAGTCAAAAGTCAGGAGCAGCAGCTTCAGTAAATCTGAAAATCTTTATGGCCAATTCATCTGTGACATAACCAACTGAGTCTAAGGTATCCTGGCCAAAACAAACAAAAAAAAACAAACACATACACACACTATCTGCCAATTCATTTGCATGAGTTAACAGGTAAGACAAGAAAGTTTGCTGCTCAAGGAGAACCAGACTGTTCCAAAATATACATTCCATTCTTGTCAACTGTGCATATAATCTCTGAAGATCACTGAATAAAAAGAATGTAAGGGTGGGAGAAGCTGGTAACCTTTTAAATACATTTAGAACGAGGATTCGATCATGACCTAGTGGCTAGTTGTATATTTTGTATGCTTCAATGCATTCTTAAAGCAGTCTCAGAACCTTGGCTACTATTTAAACATACAGTTTATACTTACAGTTAAAGATTCTCCCTGAAGAGCCTGCAGCACAAAGTTGCTGACAACTCTGCCATCATTCATGTGCATGCGTGGGCCAAATGTATTGAATATCCGAGCAACTCTGACTTCTACGCCTTCCTGTTAATATCAAGGAACACAAGGTCAAACACATGGAAGAAATCCAAAATAAACATAATATTTTTAATATTATTGTTCTTCTTGCAAGCATTTTTCAATTCTTAACTGAAAATGCAAACAGCACAGTTTTTGATTGTTTGTTAATACATTTGGTCATATAGTTCCTTGACAACAAGCAGAGCAAACAATGATGTAGTTATGTAAAAAACAAAAGCAAAATGTTAGTCACAAAGAAGTCAAAACAGTAGCAAAAGAAATGTATAAATGTTGTGAAAACTAAACTGCAATAGTCGTGGTTATTTGAGAAACAAATGGTTATTGCAGTGCATTCAAGATCACTCTCCAAGCAAGAGGGAAACTATTACTTTTTCAGTATTCCAAAGTTAATGAATATTTAGCTTACTACTAGTTTGAGAATGAAAGATAAACCCAAAAATATTTTCCCCATTGTATTTAGATTTTTTTGCCATTTTAAAAATATTTTGTTTGTACAGATAGATTAAATATAAATAGTATTTTTGCTTTTGAATAAATTGATAATTTTAGCTTGGGTAGTTACAGGTACCAGGGTCAAAACTATTTTTTTTTTTTTTTTATATAAATCAGGCATATTCTTTAACATTTTGCTCATTCTGATTTTATCATGGGATGTCAATGGGCTTTGCTTTGGTGGCTTTTTAAGAAAGAAAAAAATAAATCTTTTATCTTGATATTCACAAAATGCTTTATTAGTAGAGAATAACCATTTGTATATTTGAAAAGCACATTAAGTATTATGAGGTGTGAGCTCAGGTCTAAGCGGACATATAGTGAAGCTTGCTTCAATGGCTATGCCCAAAGGGGTAACTAGGCTCAAAAATGTGTATGTTAGCCTGCCATTAAATGCATGCTAGGCTGACTGCCTATTGTATCGACTTTCACATATTAAAGGGCTAAATCTTCAGCACGCAGGCTAAAAAGTTGCGCTTGCTCAGCGCAATTTATGGTGTCCAAGAATGCAGAATACAAGGATTTAACCTATGATAGGACCCCAAAAGCAGGACAATCTGAAAGGCATAAAAGTCCTTTAATAATTAGGTCTCCTCTGCCAGCTGACACAGTTGGGGGAGGATTGAAGAAGGACCATAGGACAGTGCTGAGGGACATCGGCGCTAGACTGAGGTAAGTGACAGAAGGGGAGTAATATTTTGTAACATCTAAAATAAATTTTTTATCCAGACAATGATATCGAAAATAAAATGATCTATAACAAAGCTATAATTTTTACTTTTAGCAGTTTATTAGAACTTAAAAATAGAAGAGAATAGAAACCACCTCTGAAGTAAAACAAAGAGTAATATTAATAAGTCTGTATTCTGCTCACAATCTCCAACTACTCACACTGACAAGTGTCAATCAAAAATAGAATGTGCTCAGTTTTACCACCAGATTTCTACTTTAAAGTATAAAAGACCTCTGGGATCATTATAATTATATATATATATATATATATATATATATATATATATATATATATATATATATATATATATATATATATATATATATATATATATATATATTGCCTCATACGTAAATATGGAAAGACTTTCTGGATACGGGTCAAAATCTATCCTATAGATTCATTTTCTGTGAATTTATCAATGTCAACTCACCATAACTTGTTATAAAAGATAATATGGTCCTTTGGACATATTTACTAAACATTTTTCAAGATCTGCGGCAGATGCTTATAATATTGCGAAATACAAAAAAAAACAACAAAAAAAAAACATTCCTGTTTTGGAGGTCCATTTTGATTTTCCTGGTGGACGTTTGTTATCATAAATCCTTTGCAATTAGATAATGGTTTGGTTCTGAGAGGGGACCAGGTTTCCTTTCCTAATTGTATCAGTCTCAAGAAGGAATATGGCTTGTCAAAACAATCATAACACTATTTATACTACATTATATCAGACACTTATTACTCAAGCCAGCAAATACCCACATATTTGTGCACACCGTGAAGTTACACAGCAAAGGTAGGAAACAAATACATCTTGACATTTCTAGTTTTTTTTCTCATATATATTAATGCATTTATGTATAACAAAAAAAAATAGGTCAAATCAGACTTGCAGCACCCAAGTCCACAGACATCCATACTGCTTACAAAACAAAAAACAAAACACACACATTCCCATAACCAATAGTTTGCCAAAAGTAATTTAGCAATCTACACTATACATTTGGGCTCTGTGTAGCACAACCTAATTTACACGAGAGAAATACATTACCTGAGTGATGTGTTAAAACAGCAAGAACTGAGATGATGTTGGAACACAATCCTACTAATTGCTTTCAAAAAATAAAATTATATATATATATATATATATATAATAGAAGGCAGCACTCACGGATTCCCATAAAATATAAAACTTTTAATAAGTCTTGTTAAAAAGATCAACGTTTCAGTCGTACTTGCGGACTTTCATCACAATCCTGACGAAAGTCCGCAAGCAGGACTGAAACGTTGATCTTTTTTAACAAGACTTATTAAAGGTTATATTTTATGAGAATCCATGAGTGCTGCCTTCTATTACAGCCATTTGGATACTTGGAGCCCTGGTAGTGCACCCAGTCTTGGAAATTGGAGTCTGAGTGCAAGATACAGTTGCTATTTTACATACATACATACACATATATATATATATGTGTGTGTGGGTGTGTTTTCCCTGTAGCTATGCATACACCTTGGATGGTTCTTTGGTAAAACGGGCATTGAAAGAAGCATTTCATAACACCGAGGCCCAGTGGTTACTGGACCTGAAAGCAGACCACTGCATGCTGCCAGAAGAGGAACCTGTCACCATTACAGTTGAAGATATCCAACAGAAAGCAGCACACATGAAGAGTTGGTCAGTCCCAGGACCTGACCTGATCCACAACTACTGGATAAAGAAGTTAACAGCGCTGCATGAATGCCTAGCAGCACAAAAGAACCAGCTACTAGCAACAGGTTCCCACTGACTGGCTAACACAAGGCAGAACAATACTGATCATGAAGGACCCTCACAAGGGAACACCATCCAACTACCGACATTTAACCTGCCTCCCTACAACATGGAAACTCCTGTCAGGCATCATAGCCTCTAAGATCCAAGGGCATATCAGTCAATATATGAGCAATACTCAGAAGAGGATTGGAAACACCACCAGAGGATCAAAACACCAACTACTGGTAGACCAAGCAGTCACAAGGGATTCTAAGACCAGACAGATCAATCTGTGCACGGCCTGGATTGACTACAAGAAAGCCTATGACACAATGTCACACAAATGGATACTGGAATGCTTGCCTCTCTACAAGGTCAGGAAGACAATAAAAGCCTTAATTAAGAACTTGATGGGCAAGTGGAAAACAACTCTAAAAGTTAATTCCAGGACAATAAGTCAAGTGAACATCAAATATGGCATATACCAAGGTGATGCGCTATCCCCAATGCAGTTCTGCATAGGCCTTAACCAGATCATCAAAAAGAGTGGATACGGATACAGGTTTAAGAGTGGAGCTACCATCAGCCACCTACTCTACATGGATGACAAGCTGTATGCCAAGAATGAGCAGGACATCGACTCACTTATTCACCTAACTAGGATATACAGCAAGGTCATCGGAATGTCGTTTGCACTAGAGAAGTGCGGGCGAATTATAGCAAAAAGAGGGAAGATGATCAGGACAGAAGGAGTTTAAGTTCCAGAAGGCCAAATAAAAGATGTAGAGAACAGCTACAAGTACCTGGGGGTACTACAAACGCATGGAAACCATGAAGAAGAGGTAAGGAGGATAGCAATATCCAAGCACCTCCAAAGATTCAGAAAGGTCCTGAAGTCCCAGCTCAATGGCAAGAACAAGATCCAAGCCATCAACACACATGCCCTACTGGTCATCAGGTACTGGACTAATAACCTGGCCAAGAGAATAACTGGTCACCATGGATGTCAAGAACGGAAAACTATTTACTATGAATGGAGGATTCCACCGAAATCCAGTTCCCAGAGACTGTACACCTGCCAGAAGGAAGGAGGTCGGGGCCTGATGAGCGTCAAGGCCACAGTCCTGGATGAAACACAGAGCATCCACAAGTACATCATGAAGATGGCTCCCAAAGATGAACTGTTAAGGGAATGCCTGAGACTTCAACAGATAGAGGATGCAGAAAGAGAGGTTCCTTGGCAAGACAAATCTCTCCATGGGGTGTACCACGGGCAGATTGTGGCTCACATGACAAAATCCTACCAGTGGTTGGAAAAGGCAGGACTGAAAGACAGCACTGAGGCACTAATCCTAGCAGCACAGGAACAGGCATTCAGCACCAGATCAATAGAAGCTGGAGTCTACCACGCCAGTCAAGACCCAAGGTGCAGACTGTGCAAAGAGGCCTCTGATACAGTCCAGCACCTAGTAGCCAGATGCAAGATGTTAGCAGGAACAGCATACACACAGAGTCACAACCAAGTTGCTGGGATTGTGTACCAAAACATCTGTACAGAATATGGATTGGACTTGCCCAAGTACAGATGGGAGATACCACAAAGGGTAGTCAAGAATGGCAGTGCTAAGATCCTGTGGGACTTCAATATCCATACAGACAAGCAAGTGCTAGCCAACCAACCCGACATCGTGGTGGTAGACAAGGAACGAAAGACTGCAGTTGTGGTGGATGTGGCAATACCCAGTGACTACAACATCAGGAAGAAGGAACATGAGAAGGTGGAGAAATACATTATATTTATGCATGTTCAGGTGAGTGCAGCCAACCCCCCCTTGAGAAAATAAATATAATAATATCTCTCTCTCTATGTATAAATACATACATATACACACACACACAATTGATGCATGTTCCAAACATTACATTTTACAAATTCTGAAACTGCAAAACCAACCTGTTTCATATAAGCATAACACATAGTTTCAGCCACTCTCTTCCCCTCGTCATAGCAGGCTCGGGGACCAATGGGATTGACGTGTCCCCAGTAGTCTTCATTTTGAGGATGTACTTCAGGATCTGAAGTAAAATAGGTACTTCTCAGCCAGTAATACAAAACAATGGATTACTTCATATTAAAATTTTAAAGTACATAAAAAAAGGTTCTTTTTTTTGCAACAATAGGCTCCATTCTATAGATTACATCACGTATCCACAAAAATGCATTCCTTACCTCCATATACTTCTGAAGTTGATGCAAGAAGGAGCCGAGCCCCTACACGCTTTGCTAAACCTAAATGTAAAAATAAATAAAAATAGAAAAACATTTTATTTTTGTATAAGATATATCAACAATTCCTTAGAGAACATCTAATAAAAGTTATTTACTAACATATCAAGTAAATGATATATCAAGTTCTCCTCAATTAGTATTAACCAAACAAACAGGGACGATATGCAAAGATATGTGCTAAGAGTTGATTCACAAAAAGAAAAAAACAAGAACAAAAAACCCACACACTAAAACCATAATTAGCCTATGAACATATTTGTGTTACATGATAACATGTTATGGTTGCCATGTGCATAACTGACTATTTTAAACTGCACTTGTTAATAGCACTGCATTTTTCCCCACATAATAGAATGGTCATAGACGTCATAATCCTGATGTACAATTGTAAACAGTCTGTTAACATGCTTTTCTATGTTTCGTCTGTATGCCTCTTGAATCTCTGTCCATTAGATTTGTCTGTCAATATAGACATAATAGTTATTGTCATCAAAACAGTTCGCGACAAGCCACACCCAAAACATAATGCAACAACAAGCACAGCCTTTCCTCTTTGTTTCTGTATGTTGAATGGATTGCTTAAAATATCTGTTCAATGTGGTGTTGGCCTGAGTATGGAACCCTGGCCACTGATGGCCAGTAAGTAAACAAACTCATTTAGCAGCATCTCCCACACAGAAGAGCGTAGTCTCCACGGCACATCACCGTGAATAGGGGTGGAGCAGCATGGAATCTATGCTATGCGGTTTCTAAATTGCATACAGACATGTGATCCAGTATAATACAAAAGAGAATAAAAAAATAAAAATAAAAAAAATAGAGAAATCTTGAACAACTGTTTAATAGGCATTGAGATCTCTGGGCAAATAAATGTGAAGCACTCAACCAGAACACTGCAATGGCTTCTATGGTGACTGCTCCACTTTGGAACTTTGCCTTAGAAAACAGGAGATTTCAACACCAATTCATGGAAAACACTCACCCAACATGTTCAACGTCCCAATTGTATTCGTTTTAAGCGTTTTTATTGGATTATACATGTAGTTTGGAGGAGATGCAGGAGATGCCAAGTGGTATATCTGATCCACTGTGGGAAGGAAGAACCAAATATTAGGATCTCTGTTGTATTTAAATAAGCAGTCATGTTTTACAAGATGTAATAAAAAGATTTAAAAATACTACTCATGGTTAAATATTTTAAAGTTATAGTCTACAAGGTGTAAAATACAGAAACATAGAAAATGGTAAAATAACTCATTGCAACAGTGCATTTTTCCAGGCTCTTTTCTACCAACTAAATAAAATGTTCTAATGGTTCAGATTTCTGGTTTGATTCATGTACAGATAAAGTATGTCATGGCCTAACAGATGATTATTCTTAGACTGCAAGCTTTACGGGTAAGTTTGCTCCTTACGTTGCAAGTTCAATGATCCTATCTACATTGAAGCTCATCCTCCGAGATTAAATCTAATCCTCTCAAGCATTAAGAAAGCAAGGAAATTGCAATTGCATCAACAACAAAAAATGCTACAGTAATTACACAACAGTTTTAAAGCAATCTAGTCAAAGGAAGGCTAAAGTTTATTGCTACGGACATGGAACAGTTAAGAAAATTGCATTTAATCCAGCACCAACAAGTTCAGAGTTCTTCTCAGGTAAGACTTGTAGACAAGATGTAAATGACATGCACATTACGTATAACAGGCTGTAATGTGTGTTATAAAAATATACCTTCAATGTAAAGTGGCTCAACGACATCATGATTAATCAGCTCAAAATTCTCATGCCCAATCCAGTGTTCCACATTCCTCTTCCGACCCGTAAAGAAGTTGTCTACAACTGTGACCTCATGACCATCCATCATAAGCTTGTCGGTGAGATGGGAGCCCACAAATCCAGCACCTCCTGTTATCTGCATTAGAACAGGTAGCAGGAAATGCTTATAACAATATAAAATGTATTTAATGGAGTCATAAATAGTGAGATTTTTTTTTCCTTCTAAATTTAAAATTGTTTTACTTACAACATATCACTAGCACACCACTGTACAATCTACATGCAATAGAAAGCAAGCTTATACAGTACCTACTTTTTCTATAAATTGAATTGACACTCAATACCATTAATAAAGAATTTTTCAAGATTTCTCAACGGCATTGAATTTAATGCCTCCTTTCGGTTTTGATTTGGGGATATTGGAACCTAAATCATTATTTTAGTGGTCAACTGTGAATGAGCTTGTGAATCAATGAATGAACTGCTTTTAGAGCAGTTCTTTATGTAATGTGTCCTGCATGCTATTTAAATTCTGAGCAGTAACAAATATTGCTTGGTATTTAGACTTGCAAGTACCGTATATACTCGTGTATAAGTCGATCTCATGTATAAGTCGAGTGCAGTTTTGTGACCAACAATTGTGAAATATGCTATGCCTCGTGGATAAGTCGAGGGCAAAACTTGGGGCTATGAAATTCTGTGATTTTTATAATTATATACACACACACACTCATACAAACACACACACTGCATTATATACACACACACACACACTTATACAAACACACACTCTGCATTATACACACACACACACTTATACAAACACACTCTGCATTATACACACACACACACACTCATACACACACTCTGCATTATATACACACACACAATCATACACACACTCTGCATTATATACACACACACTCATACAAACAATCTGCATTATACACACACACACTCATACAAACACACTCTGCATTATATACGGACACACTCATACAAACACACACTCTGCATTATATAATGCAGAGTGTCTGTGTTTGTGTGAATGCAGAGTGTGTGTGTGTGTATATATAATGCAGAGTGTGTGTTTGTATGAGTGTGTGTATAATGCAGAGTGTGTGTTTGTATGAGTGTGTATATAATGCAGTGTGTGTGTATATAATGCAGTGTGTGTGTGTGTGTGTGTGTGTATACAATGCAATGGGTGTGTTTGTATGAGTGTGTGTTTGTGTGTGAACTGGGTGGGGGAGGGCATTTTTATTATTTTTTATTTTAGTATTATTTTTTTATTTTATTATTCACTTTTTTAATTTTAATATTTACATTTTTTTTATTGTAATAATATTTTTATTATTTAATTTTTATTTTCGTCCCCCCTCCCTGCTTGTTAGATGGCCAGGGAGGGGGGCTCTCATTCCCTGGTGGTCCAGTGGATGGGCTGTGTAAGAGGGGGGCTGGCAGAGAGCTGTTACTTACCTTTCCTGCAGCTCCCTTCTCCTCTGGCCCGGTCAGCTCCACTGTAAGTCTCGTGAGAGCCGCGGGGTCAGAGCTCCGCGCGGCAGTCACACCGCGAGACTTACAGTGGAGGAGAAGGGAGCTGACAGGAGCTGCAGGAAGGTAAGTAACAGCTATCTGCCAGCCCCCAACAGAACCGCCGGGCTTGTGAGCCTGGCGGTCCTGGTCTGTATTATGGCAATGTAAGTTGCCATAATACAGACACTGACTCGAGTATAAGTCGAGTGGGGGTTTTTCAGCACAAATAATGTGCTGAAAAACTAGACTTATACTTGAGTATATATGGTAACTCACTCATGCAAAATACATGCAATTTGGATTAATGCCCCAATGCCCCTGCCTTATCTATGACAAAGTCACACAAATTGGTGCTGTACGCATTTTGAGCACCATTTAGATTTTTGCTCCCAATATGAATGTTTTCTGTGTGAAAAATGCATGGATTGTGCTCACGGTATAAATGTATAAGACAGAGCAGCCGCATGACTAGGGATGTTAGTGTAGACACTGAGCTTATTATCATTGTCATACATGTGTAGTGGGTGATGTCTGCATCCTTGTTGCCTAGTAGATGTGTCATCATGCAAAACATCCTAATACCGTTTTCAAATTTTACAACAAGAGAATGCACATCTCTTTTGCACCTTTCTTTCAAAAAAATATGCAGCACTTTCACAAAAAGTCAAAAACAAAAGAGCTGATTTTGAGATAATACCCAGGTTTATAGTGAATGGGATAGAGCATACATTGAGAAATGTGTTTACCAGGCTGTCTCGATGGTGGAAAAACAGTGCCACAGGTGTTCACTATACAGCACACTCATGAATTTTAGGTAAGTACAGCTATACGCAAGGTCTCTACAGAAAACAGGTTGTTATTCTTTGGAACTTTTAAATTAATACATTAAAAAAATGAATGGAATTGCCAGCACACAGGTTGCAGATTTTTGGATTTTTGTTTCGATTTATCCTGCTTATTAGAGTCACCCAACTGTGTCTTATAACAATTATACAAAGCAGTTACAATGTAGAAAATACTCTAAATAGATTGTAACTTTTTTTGTTTATAGCAAAAATACCTACCAGTATTCTTTTTCGATCCTTTTCAGATAAGAATTTCACAGGTGGATATTTTTGTGTAAAACTGCAATTACAAGGTGAGAAAAAAATAAAATTAAAATATTCTACATCTTTTTTAGTTTAAATGTTATGCTTTCTTCATTAACAGAAGTAAAAACACATCCAATGCAGCCACAATAGTGTAAAGTGCAAATGTAGGAAATAATACTTTATAAATGCACATGGCTTTCCTATTCAATTAGAACTGTATCAAAAACATATTTTTTACATTGCTGCCATAAAATGGTATAAATTACAAACGTATCTACACAAACTGTGGTGGTATCACTCCTGGTAAAGTTCACAGTGTATCAGTATACAGTAAATACAAATATCTCACTGCAGAAGGCAACGAGACTAGATCATTCTGCTTGATTCTGACTGAAATGGAGACCGAAGGATTTTACTACGCTTTTAAAGCATTAACAGCATAATACATAATAATTAGAGATATTTACTGTGATAGTGCACCTGGCAGCAAACCCAACAGTTAACAAGTTCCTGCCACGTACACTTGAATCAGGAATTGGCTACAGTTAGTTCCTGGTTCCTCATGGTTTTCTAGGAAAGAATAAGCAACACTCAAGTGAGGTTGTTTAACAAACAATTAAAAAAAACCCAAGCAAACAAACTATATATGTATGAACAGGACCAATGGAGCATACACACTACAGGTTTTCACTTAAAGGGACATACCTTCTATAATCATTTGACATGGTTATAGTGACTGGAATTCCCAGTATAATTCCAAGATTCATGTTTAACAGTTTTCAAATAATTTAACACTAACTTCAACACTAAATGAGGGTCACTGACACCCACAGCCCAGCCCCCACTGGTGATATGGCTTCAGCGGAGAAAACAATTTGCTTTAGTCAATGTGATGCAAAAGATGATGTGATCATGCTAAACGGACTGTACATTATTGTTGAAAGAGTATTGATTGGTTATTTCAAAGAGCAATCTTGGATATAAATAGGCATTGATTTTTAACACCTCCTTGAGAAATCAGTCAGTACACACCAGAACTCCCATTTTCTTCCCTTTCACTCCATTAAAGGGATTCTATAGTTTTAGGAACACAAATCTATATTCCGAACGCTAGTGCTCTTTTGTCGTCGTCCCCTCCCTACCCCCTCATTTTCACCTCCTCAGATGTCAGCTGACTGGCGGGCCGATGTGCGTTGAGTGCATTAGGCCCTCCCCATAGGAAAGCACTGAATAAATGCTTGCATATTGGGATATTTTACTGACACTGAATGTCCTCATGCAGAGCTTCAGTTATGCGATCCAACAGTCCGGTAAACTCCTGGAAGTGCATCTGATAGACAGCCACTAAAAGCTGTCTTAGCACTGCAATGCAAACATTGCAGTTTCTCAAAATCCCTGTAGGACTAAGGGGGACAGACCACTTCAATCAGCTGAACGGTCTGAGTGCATTTAGTTGTCCCTTTCAAGTGTATCGGTCACGGAACACACTCCATGGTTTAAAAAGATAGTGAGTTTATGGGCAGGGGAGCGAGGAAGAGACACTGGTAATGTAACATCTGCATGCCCCAAGGCCTACACACACGGTTAACGCCCTTACTAGGTGTACAGACAGGGGCGCTCACAGGGTGTAAGAGGGAGGAGGCCGGGGAAGATGAATGGGAACATGGTGGGAGACAGATGGTGGGGATCACGAGGACCACCAGGAGACGAGGAGAGAAAACACCATCCGCCATGGTCGGACAGAATGGCATAACCTTGGGGCCGTAGGCGGCTGACCCCACTACCCAAGCACTCTTCATGAGAGGACACGTGACCTCTCCCTTAGCTAGAGTCGTCCCAACCACCACCCCAGGGGTATCGGAAGGAGCAGAGAGAAGCCGCCCATCCCAGCGCCCAGATAGGGCCCACATTGGAGCAACACACAGCCCCCTAAGACACCTAGACTGAGAAATCCAGAGGGCTTACGGGGAGAGCGAGGGCATCATAACCTGCCACAGAGGCTTACGGGGACAGGCTTATTGGCAGAACCCGGGCCCTCAAGAGGGGGAAAGACCCGATACACAGGGACTCCATCCGCAAGCACGCATAACCCCAATGGCCAGCGTGTGTATGTAACGCACTGAAAAAGTAAGGGTCTTGCATTTTGTGGCACAGCGGATAGGGGCTGGGAGCCTCCTTCTTTTGTCGGAACTTTGGTAGTTCCGGAAGGAGGGGGCTAGCACCCCGGGCTGCTCTGGCAAATTGTAAGGCCAGACTTAATTGGAGGATTGAGAAGTATATGTTGTTACAGTTATTGTTTAATTTTCATGTTATGTTCTTTTCAATGGTTGCTGGTGATCCATGGCGAGGAGGAACCGAGGAATCAGAAGTGGTGAGGGGCACCAGGGAGGACTTGGAAGCAAGCTATGCATGTAAACGCCCTCTGGACATCTCACATGCTAGGGATAGCCCATCACCCACACACAGATGGCTTTAAAGATTATATCCCTTAATGTAAAGGGGCTGAACTCCCCCACAAAACGCAGACTGCTGTGGAGAGAGCTCAAATCTAGCAAAGCAGATATCGCCCTGATTCAGGAGACACACCTCCCTAGGCCAACAGATAAAATGACACAACAGACAGTACCCCACGGTACATGAAGCCAGGGACCTGCGCAGGCGAGTGGGAGTAGCGGTGCTCATCCACAAACGTCCCTTTCTCGTGATGGCATCATCAACACATATGCACCCAATGACCCTGATGCATTATCCTGGGACACTTTGACCACACTGGTCAGCTCTGACGGAAGTGGGGTGACGGTAGTGGGAGGTGACTTCAATGCAGTGCCCTGTCCGGCAGCAGACAGGAGCACAAAACCGGGGGCCGTGAGGTCCCGGGGAGGGGAGCACAGGACAAACTACTCCACACATTCCTGAGAAATACACGACTGCTAGATGCATGGCAACTCATACACTCTCGACTTTACAATTTACTCAGCACCTCACGGCACCTTCTCAAGAATCAATAATTTCCTACTCAATGGGGCAGAGATGGCGAAACTCACACACGCTGCGATAGGGAATATCATATGGTCAGACCATGCTGACATAGCTATCACCCTGGAGGGACTTAAATATTCCTCCAACTGGACGTGGAGACTCAACACGAGCCTGCTTCAGAACGACGACATATGCCAAACCGGGCACGGTCATCAAAGACTATTTCACACAAAACATCTCCCAAGAGGTGAACCCAGTAGCAGTCTGGGCAGCCCATAAAAGCATCCTAAGGTTCTACTTCATCAAAGTGGCGACCCACAAGAAAATATACACCACGCAGCAGCTCTTAGAGCTGCAAGCAACGCTACGGAAGGCGGAACAGCAGAACAAAGACTGACAGAACTGAACGCCTTGCGGCACTCGATTAGGGAACTTTCTCTGGAAGGCATAGTACGCTCGGTCCAGTGGTCCAGGTGCCTGTTCTACGAGAAGTCCAACAAAATGGACTCACTACTAGCCAGGACCTTACGCCCCAGAGGAGATTTCAAGCCCATTCATAAAATTCGCACACAGGCGGGTAGTATAGTCCACACCAGAAAAAAAAAAAAAAAAAAATCAAATAAGGTGTTCACTCAGTTTTACTCGGAAATGTATGGACACTGCCGTCAAGAACAGCGCTCCCCCTGAACGGGAACAGACGGACTTTCAGTCCTTCATGACGGTCATAACTCTACCAAGGGTGACGGGAGAGGAGGCAGATGCTTTGCGTGCGCCTATCTCTCGGGAAGAGGTGGAGATCTCAATGGGAACAAGTCCCCGGGACCAGACAGGTACGACGTGGGGTACTACAAGAAATTTAAGGAGGAATTGGCCTCCCAGCTCACATCCCTCTATAACCACTTTATGGAGGGCGGAATCCCGGACGCCGATATGGCACTAGCTAACCTAACACATGACCAGGCGGCTAACTACCGATCCATTTCTTTAATAAACTCTGACTTAAAGATCTATGCGAAACTCCTTGCGACTAGGCTCACCCCGCTCCTTACCCACTCGGTCCATCCGGACCAGATGGGCTTCATGCCTGGCAGACAGCTATACGAGAACACCCAAAGAGGTGCGGTTCTGACCTGGCACATGCAGAGCTCCGGGAGACCTTCTATGGCCCTGTCGCTAGACGCGGAGAAGGCCTTTGACAGGGTCCGGTGGCCGTACCTGTTTGGCCTTCTGCGGGCCTGGGGCTTCCCGGAGCCCTATGTCGTTGCGATCCGGGCGATATACTCCAACCTCAGGGCTCAGACACTGATCACAGGGGCTAATAGAGTCCCCTTCACACTACACAAAGGGACAAGAGAGGGCTGCCCCATCTCTCCTATTCGTTGTAGTTTGCTCTTTCACTGGAACCTCTGCTGCAAGTGATCCGACAACACCCGCACATTCTGGGAGTCACAGTGGCCGGGAGACAATTTACGGTCTCAGCATACGCGGACTATGCCTTGCTTACACTGTCAGACCCGCTGACTTCATTGGGCCACCTGATGGGCCTATTAGATAGATACGGCATCATATCGGGATATAAAGTCAACCTGATGAAATCAATGGCTATGCCGTTTCATCTTGGAGCCCCGGACATGGCACTGATACATGACACATACAGCCAACCCATTACAACAGAAAGCATACTCTACCTAGGCATCGGACTCGTGGCGCACCACTCACGACTATACGACTTGAACTACCCATGTATGTTCCAAGCCCTCATCAGGGACCTGGAGCAATTGACGGACAAACCCATATCTTGGATGGGGAGACTGCACTCAGTCAAAATGAATGTTCTTCCCAGACTGTTGTTTCTATTCCAGACCCTGCCTGTGCCCATAGACTGGTTTATATGTATACTACCTTGCTGCCCAAGTTGCACAAATAGCATATTGGCACTCACCACCAGAGTCCTTACTTTATTTGGCTCCCGAAGACTTGTAGGATGTTCCTGAGGACCGCCTGTCCCGTGATACTCAACTCCATACAGATATGGGACCAGATCGCAAGTAAATGCGCACTTAGCAGATCCCCTTCCCCAATGACACCAGTCTACAGTAATAGGGAATTTCTTCCCGGGATCAAAGCTAGAGACTTTAAAGGAACAGAAAACTCAGGTCTTCAACGATACACACACCTATATGTAAGACAACCAAATAGTCACTTACGAGATACTGCAAAGGCTCTCACACCTGACCACTAGGGATCATTTCCGATACATTGTTACGCGACTTCACTGCCACAAAAGAAGTCAAAGAAACAGCTTCCCGACAGCTCAAGTGGTTTGAGAAAATGTGTTTCCAGGAGAAACACCCCAGAGGGCTAATCTCAATACTATACAACCACCTAAGCGTAGAGTCCAATTTGCAACATCTCCAAATTTTAGTTCTTTTCTTTTTTGTTGAGGAGAGAGGGGGGATCCAGGTGGAAAATAGCACTTCAGACCGAGAAAACTTTGACCCAAAACCTTCTTCATAAAAAAAGGAGGAGTATAGATTATTTGTTTGGAGGTCATCTTGAAAAGACATATCCACTGATCACTGGGTAGGCCTCTGCCTAGGTCTAAGTTTTATGAAAATGGATATAAATATATGATCTGTCCCCTAACTTGGATAATCACTGTTGCCCAAAGGGTTCGCTGATGTCACAGTTCTCTATGCCGTCAACTGAGTAAAAGCTAGAGCAGGAAAATTGTCCTACAGGAATTTTCCAGGTGGTACATTGTTGCGTTACATTCCACAAGGTCTAATTCAAAGCTCTTAACCTGTGCTTTATGTTAATCAGACATTGCAATATAATTACATTTGAAATGGGGACATTATATTTAATTTTAGTTCTTTAACTGAATCTCATTTGTAATTTACAATGGTTTCATGTAATTTTTCTAGTAATCTTGAGATAAAGAAATAAAGGATTATCTTGATTTCTCAAGCATTGTGTTCGCTCAGACTACTGTAAGGTGCTACATACTAAAATAAGAAGACAGTGTTACATTTTAAGTAAGAACTCACTTTAACCCCTAAGTTGCCTCCAGCTCAGGTCCCACTCCTCCCCAGACAGTATCCGGCTTCTGAATTTTCACTTCTAAGAAGCGCCGAGTACGGCAGGGCAAAAGCGTCGCTGACTGGCTGAGAGTTGTTAGCTGATGCTCTAAGCCAGTGACTTCCTATACACTAAAGTAATTAATAAGTGCTTAAAAAAGGGACTCTCAAGGCACCAGAACCCCAATAACATTGCATTCATGTCTAATGCATCCTTTAGTGGCTATCACTCTGATAGCCACTAGCAGGGGTTTTGTAGTTGGAGTGACGTTCAGTATCTTTACAATCTCAATAGATACATGCATCTTTCCTCATAGAGATGCACTAGGACAATAAATCTTTATGAGGAGATGCAGATTAGTGCAGCGACTGCGACACATGCGCTCTAACCCCTAATCATTTCTTTATGGGGAAGCATTTGATCATCACCTATAATGCAGGAGGAGTGGTGGCTTAGGTTATCATTACAGGAGTTTAATATCGAAGTAGTTAATGTAACATTAGCTTTAGAAATACGTTTGTATTCCCAGCTTTTAACAGGAAATCAATTAAAATCAAAGTTCCATAAGTATTTTGTACCCAGAGTCCATTCTCATTTGTGAGAGTGAGTTATTGCAGCAGTGATTCCTTCTATAAGACAGCCCATTAGGCGGTCAATCAGGGAGTAAGGAACACATTATTAGTGTCCCTATTGTGCATGTGGCATGCACAACAAAGTACAGAATGCTAATGCATGATTCATGGCTTTCCGGATAGTAAAACACAGTCCAGTTCACTAAACAGTGAACAAGCGGCTTATGTATTGATACCAGCCTTGGTATGGCTGGTAGTGTATAGAGCACTTATACATACCTCCCAGCAATCTTCACTGGAGGAGGCAGGAATAGTGACATGAACCGTCTTACTAGACATGCCAGTCTGGAAAAGGGGCAGGCAGGTCACCCATTGACAGGCTCTTTGACTAACCCAGCCTTCAGGATCATGCAGGGAGCGTTGCTGAAGTACTCCCTGCATGGTCCAAGTGCCCACTTATAGCGCAAACGCGTCTAATTACACACAAATGCTGTGCTGCCCCGGGGACCGTTCCCTAAAGTGTGATAGGACCCCATAAATGGGGCCTGCCCTGACTAAAGCGGGACTATTGAGAAGCATGGTTATATGATATCTTGATCGAATACTCATCTCAAACACCTTGTGGACATAGAATTACGGGATAATATCAGACCCCACTGATCAGAAAGATAGGTTAGTAATTGGAGGATCTTATTTTAGTGTGGGAAAATTTTGCCTGAAGGGCAACCCAACAAGCAGAGGACCAATGGGCACTTTCAAGGTACATAGTATTTTATATTCCCCCCCCCCCCCAATACTTTTAATACATTATCTATATAGTGCATTAAAAAAAGGTTTACAAATGAAAACCAAAACTGTTCTAAACTATCATAGAGTTATAGTTTCTTAAATGGATATGTAATTTTCCTATGGTGAAATGTTCAATGTCCAGCACAGTAGTAAACTGACACCTTTACAGCTTCAGGGGCCCACACAAGGGAAGGTCAAACATCATCATCTCTCACATTTCCAATCCTCAGACATCCTGAACCCAAACACCCTCTGAAGCAACATAAATAAAAAATAAACACTCATGCTGGGTGACTGATACAGAAAGCTGCGAGAAAACACCATAAAAAGCATTTATATATAAAAAAAAAAAGAAAATCACCAATTTTACATGTGGACATGTATATCACACTTAATCCATTTGTGACAGATAATATGCCAGAACTGTCAAACAGGATTTGTTTAACCCTTGTCATGAACAGGTTAAGACATTTCACTATACATACAATTTGGAAAATATGCCTTGTACATTTACACTTTTTGTTAAGATGATACACACAATGCACTGAGCAGTGAATTGTGGTACAGATTCCAAGTCTGGGAATCAGTGAATTCCTAGGTGACAGTGTCTGCCTACAGAGTAGCGACCAATCCTGGTGGCGCAATGAAACTTGTTGTACTAAGACATTTAAAGTTAAATGTCATCAAACTGTTGCTAGTGAGAGGGGAGGTAGATATTCAAGTATTAGGAAGATATGAAATAACAGGATGAGTCCACTTTCTACAAATATGGAGACGATAGGGCAAGAAAGGACTTATGTGGAAACAGAAAATGGAATAAAGAGAAAAAGGGGACCAACAAAAAGGACCAGAAAAGGTTACTTACAGAATGTAAGTTAAATGAACACTATAGGGTCAGGAACACAAACACATATTTAGTGTTAAACTTACCTTCCCTCCCCCCCTGCCAAATAAAACCCCTGCACATCTAGGTGGCTTGTCCCTTCATACCCCCTTAAAAGGTAAGAAAACTTGCCTTATTTCTAGCACCCCCTCCCACCTCCTTGGCTGACGTAATCAGAATTGATGATCTCAGCAAATCCAATGCTTTCCCATAGGAAAAGCATTTGATTGGCTGAGATCGTCAAGGAGGCTGGGCAAAATGCCAGTCTGCATTTTTATGGGGAAATGCCAATGCATCTCTATGAGGAAAGTTCAGCGCCTCCATGCAATGCATGGAGATGCTGAACTTCAGGGCAGCACTGCACCAGGAAGCACCTATAGTAGCCATTTGAGGAGTGGCCACTGGAGGTGTCCCTAGAGAGCAATGTAAATGCTGCCTTTTCTCTGAACAGCTTATAAAGAGGCAGCAGAGAAGGCTGAAAAACACAGAGAAACATATGGATGTGGTACTGAGATGTAGAATGGAATAGTGGGAATTTTATCTCAGAGAACTTAATATGAAATTATTGGGAGGCTGCATGTGTGGCAAAAAGCTATGTGGCTAATCAGCATCTCCAGGGAAATCGTTCAGCTCCTCCATGCAGAACCAATCTAATACATTGCCCCCAAATCCAATAAAATGACCCCCTCCTTTCACTCTAATACATTGCTCACTCCATCCAATCTAATACAATGCCGCTTAGTCTAATACACTGCCCTCCCACCCCTCTAGTGGCTGACTGGCTGCAAAGATATCCAGTACGGGCCACGAGTTTGACATGCTTGGTGCATGGTCTTTCAGCTTCACTCCTATAATTCTAGGTGACAACATTTAATTAACTGACAGAATCATTGACATAATAAAATAGAACCATGGAATACAAATCCTGCAACCAATCAGATTGTTTGTCTACTCACCTTTTTTCTAAATCTCGTATCTTCTCCCTCAAAGGTGCAATAAACTAAAAGAATGGGGAAAATATGTACACTTTGATTGGTAGAAAGGAAACATTGTTTACTGAACAAGTCTAATATACATATAAAAATCTTAAATATTTAATTCCTTAATGAATATTCTTTATTGCCATAAGAACCAGAGTTTTTGTTCCCGTGTTCCATTATTTTCTAACACCAATTGATTAGAGCCTGAAGCATAGGATCCAGCTTCTCATGTGTCTGCCCATCAACCCTTGCCATGTAAACCATATACCTAAGCGAGAATTCATTTAACTAAATATTCACTGGCATATTTTTTAATCCATTAAATTATTTCTGTAGCAATATCATTATGTACAGAAAAGGCCACAAGTGCTTCTGATCAAAAGGGCAATTCTAGGACATTTATTTTGTGGGCTTTATTTCTAGGTTATGTAATCATCACTTTTTATTATTAAAGTGGTAAAATCTATTAATCTTTTTATCTTCTCTTTTTCACGCATATACCACTCTTTAAAAATATTTTTAAAGAAACTTCAGTCTTCAGGAAATATCCCTCCTGGGATCTAGTATCAAGCTCACATTTATGGGCAATCATAAACACAATAGTTGATTAGTTGTTTTGTCAGAATAACAGATGATATTAAAAAAGAAGAAAATCCCACAAAAAAAACCCAAAAAACTGAAGTGGTTATGGAGGTTGGAATAATTCTATAAAAAGAACCGAATGATCCACGGATCATTAATTTTACTTATTTTTGTAAACATTAAAATATCACTGTAAAAAATTAAAAATTATTTTAAATTAAGTAAGAATTGTAATATAGTTATATGTACATTCATACATTGAAATATATATATTGCCATCACATAATAAATTGGAGAAGTACAAACCTCTTCTAATTGCTTTTCCATTTTTTGTTCCCCAGTTTCCTGAATTGACCTGCTAAAAGATAATATGGAATTCAGCACAAAAATTACACAGGACAAAATAAAAAAATAAAGAAAGAAAATCAACATGAACATCAAGATAGCAGATTTTAAAAGCAGCACAAATTAATTAACGCATTGCAAAAAAAAAAAAAAAATCATGATTAGTTCATCACATTAGTGGTGAACAATTGAAGAACTGATGTCTGTGAGGTCCAAGTGTGTTCAGAGTAAAAAAAGTACTGTCGTAAGAATAATTACCTGGAATTCTGCATTGCACTTACTCATTAAAGGATCACTATAGGGTCAGGAACACAAACATGTATTCCTGACCCTATAGTGTTTAACCCATCATTTAGGTGGCTTGCCCCCCCTTAGCTCCCCTATGAAAGTTTAAAACTCACTTTATTTTGCAGGTCTGCCGGTGTTGGCTCCGCCCCCTTTGTGACATCATCAACATGATTGATTTTTAGGCAATCCAATGCTTTCCCATAGGAAAACCTTTAGATTGGCTAAAATCGGCATGGGGGCAGGGCCAAATGCAGTTTTGGCCAATCAAGACCTCCTTATAGATATGCATTGAATCAATGTAAGCGTCTTCATGCAGAGCGTGGGGACGCTGCACAGCAGGGCTGCTTACTGCAGGAAGTTCCTCCAGTGGCCATCAGAGGAGTGGCCACTGGAGGTGTGCCTAGAGGGCAATGTAAATACTTCCTTTTCTCTGAAAAAGCAGTGTTTGCATAAAAATGCCTGCAGGGAATTCTTATACTCACCAGAACAATTACATTAAGCTGATGTTCTTGTGACTATAGTGTACCTTTAAATTAAAACAACCGACTCCACACAGATTGTAGAAATTGCTTCACTTCTTCCAGCATGTACAGTGAATTATTACAGAATTTAATCAATACATTTAAAAAAAAAAAATATTAATACAACCATTTGTTATTAACGTAGTCAGATTGTGTAGATAAAGATTAGACCATATTTTCTAAGTAATCAATGTAGAATAGTTTGTTTACCAAATGATTATTGGCTCTGAATTTGTGCGTTTTGAATTGTAATTCACTACAATTTAGAGTTTAGTAAATAAACCGCTAAATGTGAAGAGACCTTCTGTATATGCTCACCCCTCCCTAGTTTAATGAATAGCTCTATAGTTGGATAGAACATGCAGACAGCTTCATTAACAGGAAAGTTGATATACATCTGAAGAGATTATAAATAGGTGCCAAATCTACCTTAGAAAACCTCAAGGCTGCTTCCATTTGCTGCATGAGTGCAGATACACTTGTTTTAGTTTGACACTGCAAAATTAACATGCCTAATTGCTAAATTGAGTTATCGATCGGAAGCATTTAGCCTCTCATAGCAAATTATATTAGAAAAAAAAAATAATCATTTGGCTTGTGATGAGGTAACAGCAAAACATGATTTATGATGGGCAGTGGTGCTGCTGGGGGTAATTAGTAGAGTTGTCAACTTGCACATAATATTGTACTCCACAGCAGCGTACAATTGGGAAGCTAAACAGACAAGTAATACAAGAAACATGGACAAAATAAGTCTAAAGCTTTATGTGTATGGAGTGTCCCTTTAAATTCTATTGATGCACTTTGGGATACCCTTTTACAGGAAACACTAAATTCCTACAAAAGTGGAAAGAAGAATGGGGTGTTTGGGTCCCACAGATAGACTGTCCCAGAAAAATAGGGGCACTTGGAAAGTATGGTCCAAATGGGAAAAAAGTATGCAGGAAGATATAGCATGTGATGTGCTTACCTCATGTTGACAAAGTTTCCCCAAACAGCTGGTGAAAAGAAAGGAAAAAAATAAAAAAAATTAAGTGCAGGTTATGGAAATATTCATATTGGATACACAAAGCTTTGTATTATTACAAAGAAACAGTGTGAGTTGTACAGTATTTAAAGGCATATAATCATTAGTGATATTCACCAATACAAGAATGATCAAGAGAACAGCTAATTTTTTTCCTAGTAGCCAAACTGAGGGAAAAAATAGCCAGGTTAGAGAAATTTCCAGTTTGATCATTTTGGCCTAAAATAGGCATTTATCTGGTTCATTTCCAAAAATGTACCGTTTAAAGAATAACATAGTAAACAAAATTTAACTCAGCAATACAACTCCGAGAGTGAAAATCTACTACGTAGCATTATTGTGTTTTTCCCTGCACAGAGTAGATGCAGGATATGCACATATTTCTCCAAAGGATATATGCTCAGACTCATAAATCATAGGGGGCAGGGGAATCTTGCGCAAGAATAAATAAAGGAGGTGCCTGAAATTGAATTGGTTATTATTAAAACACAGTATCATATTTATTGCTTACTTACTGTAGTGTGGTTGTTCTCAAATAGCATTTAGACGTTGATATTAATAAACTTGTCAACAGCATGACCAATACATTAAGGAAACACATAAGCATGGGTAGGCATCTAGAAGTTGGGGTCAAACACCTGCACTGGCCCCTGGGCCTTCACAGCTACGGCGGTAAAGTGGAATCCTTAGATCCCTTAGGGTTTTTTCCCCCAAAATTTTTTTCCCTCCATCTTCCTCGCTTCTGCTCCCACACACTCTCCCTTTCCTTCCAGAGTTGCCTTCCACACTACCCCAGACATCCCAAGAACAGGAGGGCTTTCACTAAAGAACGGGGAGAGAGGAGAGAGAGCAAACTTTCCCTTGCAAGATTATTATGTCTATTGTCAGCAAGCTGATGGCAGGTGTAAAATATGCACAGAATAGACATTAGGTAGCCCGGCAGTGTAACCAGCCCGCAGAACAAATGTGCAGATTACTTCATGTGATGAGTGGTTTTAAGATGAAATACTGCACATATATAACACCTACCACCATTATCACATCTAATCGATGAAGTGGTCAAGGTGGTTGGAGTAACCCTTTATGAAATGACTCAATCAAAACAAATTGTGGCTTCCCATAGTGAAATAGTAGCCACTAAAAAAAAAAAGGAGCTAGAGAGAAAACAGAATGTCTGAGGTGCATCTTATGTATTAAATTTGTATTCAAATTAAGCTAAAATTCCAGGGAAATTAAAAATGAAAATAATAATACAATAAACAGGGTGGCCAGTGGAGAGATGATTTCTATAGCAGCAGGCAGACAATGACAGCAAGACAGTGTTACAGCTGATGAGACAAACACAACATGAAGCTGAGCTCTGATCAGACACAATCATTTCCAAGTCAGTTTTGTTTCTCCCAAAAGGAGATTTTGTCTTTGGAGTAGCACATTTAATTCTGAGATTATATACTATTATCAAAATGGACACAAGAATGAGAGAAAAAAAATAAATAAATAATACTGATCTCTGTTAGCAAAATAATTTATGAAGTAAAGAAAACAAAAACATTTCATGGTATTTATATTTCAATGCTGTTCTAGAGATACAAAATTGTTAAAATTAAATTGTTAGCTTGACCTCAAAATAATTGATAAAGTGGCCTTGTCATTTGCAAATGCACAGCATTGTAGCATTGAAAACTAGACAGTGTAAGATGCAAAAGTAGCCTTCTGTAAAAACACAACTGGGCACGTCTAAAAAAAAAAGTGCACGTTTATATGAGTTACAATAAACTGCGCATATAAACCTGATGGAGAACTTCCTAATTTTAATACAACTTCAAAAATGTATTTATGACCAACTTGCTATGCCTTTTCCTTAACCTCTGATGGGAAAAGACAACCTCACGAGCAATCTATACCTATGGTGTTATAACATCTGTAGAGAAGCCTATGTGCTCTTCCACCCATCAGAGGTTTGTTTGTACGCTCTGTACAGGATAGAGCAATCATCTGCAATGAGCTGAAGATAGCAGCACAGAGGGAGAACTTTGTATATTATTCAAACATCCTTTCTGCCTCTGCGATATCAACACACAAAAATCCCAGAAGCACCCGGTACATTTAAAGGAAAAGTCCAAAAATCCTTAAACTGTTACAAAACAGCAAGTGAGCAAAGTTACAAGAAAAGACAGAACACATTTGTGATTTCAGATCAAATTTCTTCTACTAATTGGCTGATTGGTGTTTTCATCTAATCCAAATAAATCTACATTTTGCAGCTATACAATGCACTGATATTTTTTAGACTGTAAGTTCGTTTGAGCAGGGTCGTCTTCAACCTATCGTTCCTGTTTTTTGGGGGAATCGTCCTAGTTATAGTTAAATCTCCCGTCATAATATTTTAAAGCCCTACGGAATCTGTTAGTGCTATATAAATGGCAATAATAAGAAGACGTCATAAAAATGGCAGCCCACTGCCAGTTATACATTGTACACATTCTGAAGCAACAATAGGAATAATGTGCAAGTGTGACATAATTTAAAAAGCACACATTCTTTAAATAGTTTCTTTACTTTAGCATGGTATTTACTACTAATCCCCACTGTCTCCAAGATATAAAACAATATATTTCATCACAAAACCTTTGAATAAACACTAGAATTCCATGTTCACACTTCTGAAGAAATATTATGGTGTCAACTACAGGTAATGAACCATGCATGACCTGTTTATGCATTATACACTAACAGGGCATGTCAGCTTGACAATTTGGGGACATTACGTATTTTAGTTGAATGTAAAGGAGTGATCACTACTAGCTCAGCATTTGACAAATGCTAAACATGTCGTCTTCAATCTCTTGCTTCTTGGAATGGAACACTGCAAGCACCATACAACATGTACAGCTTGCTGTAGTGTTTATGGTGTTGGGAGTTCATTGGCATTGTAAATAGTGTTTTTGAACAGTTTGACTTCTTACAAGGGGTCCATGCCTCCAAAGTCAACTCCAAATTTAGAATTCTCTTAGCAGGGCAGGGCTAGAGCGCTCTTGTGAAGAGCAATCAGCTAACTGTAGGGATTAGCTCAGGAGAGCTAATGAAGTTCTTGCAAAGGAACTTTCCAGCACCCCAGCATTAGTAGTAGAGAGGCACCCAAGGGACCACAAGTAATAGGTCAAACCATTAAAAAAAAAAAAATAGCATGACAATTGTGGGTGGGTGCCATTATCACTACGACAAGTTGCAGTGGTTAGGGAGCTTGGAGAGTATATGTAATAGAAAGCAGAAAAAAAATAAGTAAATAACCCCATAGTCTGAAAAAAAAAAAAAAAAGCAAGATAATTTGATCCAGTGTGCCTCTACAGCAGAGTTAAGTATGCAGATTGTCCTGGTCAATTAGTAACTGTGAAAATGTTTACAGACACACACACTTTTATTCACTAAAGTGAGAATTTAAAGTGAATGTCAAATTTAAGGTAAACAATAGCTGAAATGGAAAAATTCTCTAACTCAGTTATGTTTCCAGTACAGCTTTGAATTCACTCGAATTCTCACTTTAGTTTAAACCCCAGTTTTTAGAATATACACACACATTTATTTCTAACAATAAATGCATGAATCATTACATATCCAACTCTTGTTCTAAATATCCATCTAGCATATCTACTACTTGAAAGTCTAGTTTATCACACCTTTCTAGTCTAACTCTCTACTTGACCTCATTCAGTTTCCATGTGACATTCTCCCAAAACAAAATTCATTAACTGAAGGAGAGTTTGTAGGTACCCTCCCTCTCTTTTTTAAGTTTTCATTATAACTTTTTTCTTTGATAGAAGTCAGTGTGTTAACATATTGTAGCCACATGAATTGGGTAACACTAATGCAATTTTACGCTCTCCACCTCCTAACCACTGATTAATACTGAGGGTGGTTGCTGACGAGTTTACATACAAAGTTGTGACAGGGTCAAAATATGACAGGTGGCAACCAGGATTACAAATATTCTATTAATATTTTTCCACATCACTAATTGCTCAGATTGAGACACTTAATGATGTTAAATTTAGTGTGTATTCCCAAATCCATTTTAGACTGTGAGTTTTCCCAAAACTTGACTTGAAAAGGAAGACCAAGAAAATACTTTTTTCCCCATCAGTAAAATGTCCAGAAAAACATGTTTAATAATTTAAATTTGCCATTCCCATTCTCTCAAATAAAAGGGAGTTTAGCAGCTATACTATGCAATCTTCTCCATGCACTTCCATTAGATGTCTAGGGGTTTCTGTACTCTTCAGCTTCTGTATCCAAAAACAAAAAGATTAGATAAGCCTGTTAAAAACCATTGGCATGGAATATAGCATTGGGAGAGTGCCAATGAAGGAAATATAATCTCCCATGCGACTGCTGCACTTAACTAAGTGCTTTCCATAAGAAAACAATGTAATGTCATAAACATTACAGATACACATACACTGATCAGCCACAACCTTAAAACCACTGACAGGTTAATGAGCAACATTGATTATATTGTTACAATGGCACCTGTGTAGAAGTGGGATATATTAGAATGCAAGTGAACAGTCAGTTCTTGAATTTAATGTGTTGGAAGCAGGAAAAATTAGTATGTGACTTTGACAAGGGCCAAATAATGATAGGTAGACAACTGGGTCAGAGCATCTCCAAAACGGCAATTCTTGTGGGGTCGACACGACACGGAGTGGTTAGTACCTACCGAAAGTGGTGCAAGGAAGGACAACCGGTGTAAGTCTAACTGTCTTTCCTTCTTCGTTGGCTTTTTACCGATCCTACGATCAGCTTCCTGCTCCACAGCTCTCCCCCTGCATCATGGCGAGACAAAAAGTCACAAATCCAGGCAGGCCCAAGAGCCCCAACCTAGGCCCATCTCCCCCCTCCCACCCTGCTGCTTGCAATAGACCACTCCGCCCGTCGATCCTAAAGCCGGAATGTATCACTCCGGATCTGACCAATCGGAGGGAGCTAGGGGGGAGGTAATTCATGACAGGAAGAAACGGGAGGCCCAACAGTATTTGAACAGGATAAATTTCCAACGCCACTCTCGTCACATCTTGGCAAATTTAGCAAATCTGGTTTTCAGTTTAATTCAGGTTGCCATTTAATGAATGATCTCCAAGAGATATGCAAAATGGTTAATTTGGTGCACCAAATTCTTTTCAGTACTTTGACTTCAGCCTCCTAATTACCGACTACAGGCCTTGGCCTAGATATAGGTTTTGTTTGTGGGGAGATAGTTGGGGACTTCTTCCTCCTGGTATGGGTTTGCCACGTTCCCCAATTACAAGTGTAAACTTTCCATATGTGCAGTTATTAATTCAATAATATTATAGAAAAAACTATTTTAAAATCATTGGGGGGGGGGAAGAAGTAATTTTCGGTTTTCGGACGTGGGTGTTCGGAATGTTTGGTTTTGCCCCAGAATATTCATTTTGGTGCAGGCCTACTGGCCAGAGTGCATTGTTGATCCCTTTCCACCGCCAAATGTGCCTCTAATGGGGTTGTCAGTGTCTGGAACCATGGAAGAAGGTTGCCTGGTCTGAATCTCGTTTTCATTTAGATCAGGTGGATAGCTGGGGTGCTTATGTGTCGCTTATCCGGGAAAGAGATGGCGTCAGGATACACTATGGGAAGAAAGCAGGACGGTGGAGGTAGTGTTATGCTCTGGATAATGTTCTGCTGGGAAACCTTGCATCCTAGAATTCATGTGGATGTTACTTTGACACGTACCACCTGCCTAGAAATTGTTGCAGATCATGTATACCCGTTCATGGCAATGGTGTTCCAATATGGCATTGGTCTTTCAGTAGACTAATGCACCCTGCCACAATGCAAAAATTGTTCAGGAATGATTTGAGGAACATGACAGAGTCCAAGGTGTTGCCCAGGCATCCAAATCCCCCAGATCTCAATCCAATAAAGCATCTGTGGGATGTACTGGAATAACACTTCTGATCCATGGGGTCCCCACCTTGCAACCTGCTTAAAGGATCTGCTGCTTTTGTCTTGGTGCCGGATAACACAGAAAAAGTTAAAAGGGCTTGCGGAGTCCATGACTTGACACATCAGAGTGGTTTTGGCAGCTTGAGGGGAACCTACACAATATTAGGCAGGTAGTTTTAATGTTGTGGCTAAACAGTATATGCAATAATGACCTCATGAGACCCATGATATGTATGTATGCTCTGAGCACTCATATGTGGTCTCCTGAGCTAAGCCCTGCTGTCAGCTCATATTTGGAAAGCAAAGATTGGCTTAAAATTTATCAGCGACTTCCTGGTTGCTGCATAAGTATGCAAAACTATGAATGTAGCACCATATATTTTTAAATAAATGATCCGCATTAGATGTAATATTGTGTTTTCCCTCAGTCTCTTGTATCACATTTAAGTTGGTTTTATATATGCAACTACTCTGTAGATAATGTATACAGTACACACACACACACACACAATCTAAAGTGCACTAGTGTAATATTTAAGAAATATCTGTCTGATAGGGATATTGATTTCCCTTGGTAAAATAACAAGTTTCCAGGACTTACATTATCTTCAGCAAATGCAAACAAAAAGAATATTTTTTTAAAAAGTAGGCGTTTACAAAGTCTCCATTTTGCCATAAGGCAAATTAGTTAAAGAAAAAAAAATGCATACTTGTAGTTCTGCTTATGACATGCCACAAGTCATAGAACACAATTTGTCAACAGGAGGAAGACAAATAAAAGGTGAAAACTTGCAAAACAATTCCCTGTTCTCAAACATCCAAATTCTAAGGGTTTGTTCAACCCTGCTGTATTCATCTGAGTAACACAAGTTACATAGGACTAGCTGGCAGGAGGAAGAAAAAAGGATGCTTTGTACAGCTACCATCCAGCACGTCATATTCTAACGTAGTAAAAGAGCGTGCGGCACCCCTCACTGTTATAGGAATACACACTCCGGTACGTAAACCTCTTCTAGACTCCCAATTCCTTACGCAAGTCTTAAGAAGTGCGTACACACATACACATGCCTTGATGGCACCTACCAAAGCAGGAGGCCGCGGTGCCAGGCACAGCTGGAGGGTGTCTGTCCAGAGTATCCAGACAGTGAGAAAGCGGCTACCCACCACATTTAACAGTCTATAGCCAGACAGACCCTGCACAGTATAAACAACACTGGCACACCAACTGTACCAACACTACAACAGGCAGAGGGTGGCATGGGATGCTCATACAGGGGCTGCCATGCCTGGCTGGGGATGGGGGAGCCATGCCAGGCTTGAGGGGGGGGGAGGATGGGGTGGTAGGGCCACCAGGCTAGGGGGATGTGGTGCTGGCTAAATACCCAGTTGCAGCAAGTGCCTGGTACCCTGGTAAGGATGGAGCATGCTGGGTGGCAGTGCCAGAGCTAGGGTGGCAGTGCCAGGGAAGGTGCCCGGGGCGGTCAGTGAGCAGGTGGAGGCAATGAATGGAAGGAGCTGGCACTCACAGGCTACATAGGCGATCAGGGCGAGTGCAATGAGCAGCTTCATCATCCTCCTATTGATTGCAGTCAGCAGCCGCTGCACTCGGTTCCTCACCATCACCGGCCGAAGCACGCTGGGGGGCCCGAGCTCGGCGCCGGGGACATCGAACCCGATAGGGGTCACACTCTATCCTCGAGCACAGAGAGGAAGCTCTACGACAAGGGGCACCAGGCGTGAGTTCCTGGCCGGCCGGACACGGCGCGCATGCGTATTGCTTCCCCGAGTGCTCCCGGCTCTCCGTCCAGGAAGAAAAATGAAAGCGGCCGAGAGACTGGAGCGCCTGCGTGCAACCAGTGGGGCTGTCACGTGACCCGCAGTGTCGCTTTCCATGCAGGCTGAGCAGAGCGCCGCATGTAAATGCCAAGCTAGTGCTGTGGGTTAGGCCACCGGTGTGCACGGGGTGATCAGAGATACCGTATTAGCGCTAGCACCGTATGACCGTATTCTAACACAAATGTTTACCAAGTCTGCAATGCCCAATGCCACAAGAGTCTGCAGGGTTACCAACAACAGTAAATTAATTGTCACTTTTGGAGAAGTAACTATATCTCGCTTCACTAGTAGATCATACTGTATTTTGTGCTTTCCTCTGTAACAGAGCTCTGCAACCTTCAGGCTGGAATTTCACAGGGTTTACATCCAATTTACAGTGGTTATGGTGCTTGAAGGCTGCATGTGCTGTCCTTCATTGTGGTAAGCCATTTGAGTTGTTTTGCACAAACAGGTCCCAGGTGCCAACATTTATAAGTAGAAAGTTATTTCAGTATACGTTTTGCGATTTTTTTTTTTTTTTAAACTTGATGCTTTTGGCCTAGCAATTAAATCTAGAAACATGGAGCTGCCCCACATCCAAATGTAGCTAAGACATACTTCAACAACTAGCATACACCATGTAAACCCCCATGTTCAGCCCCTTTTTAAAAGTCACATAATTTATAATTTAAACCCTTAAGTACAAAGACTCTAGAGATGTGCCATGTTTGTGACCAAGGTCTATTTGGCATTTTTGCCAAGCAATCATTCCACTACACTTTCATCCTGTTTAAAGGGACACTGTAGGCACCCAGGCCACTCATCTCATTGAAGTGGTCTGGGTGCAGTGCCCCTGTCCCTTTAACCCTGCACTTGTATTTATTATGTGATGGGATTTCAGCTAGGCCCAAAATGAGACACTGCAATAATGAAATTTCAGGGTTTACTCCACCCCATGAGGACATCTATCATCAGCTAAAACCCCGTAGGAAAGCATTGATTCAATGCTTCCTATGGGGAAGTACTAACACGTTTGTTGCGCATGCACATTAGCCCCCTCCACCCTGTCGACTGACAGCGGATTCCGAACTTGACCCAACATTGGGTCTTGAATCAGGTAAGTGACAATTTAAGCACAGGTGGCAGGGACGCGGGGGTACTAAACTGTACTCCTAGCACTATAGTCTCCTTCTAAGTGTACTTTACATTTTTATGATACCATATTTACATAAACCAAACAAATGGGAGAAAAACACACATTCCTTCTTAATTGTGCATGCAACTAGAGAAAAACAACTCAATAATTCACTAATTAGTCCTTCGACACTTGTTCCTGGAGAGGCCTGCTTGCCAGCCTCTTGCATTGTGACTATGGCCCCTGGGATGTATTGCCCTTTAAAAATGTTATTTGGGCTTATGGACTTTTATTAGACTGTTTCTGGCCCTTTAACCCCTTAAGGATTCCCTTTTATTCCAGAAGTTTGGTCCTTAAGGGGTTAAATACTTTGGGAGAGGATCTGTACTTTTGCTATGGCACTGCGGATGCAGCCGAAGTAGTCAAAGTGGCCGCCATTCGACAAACAAACACGTCACAGTGGCCATTTTAATTTAGCCGAATGCGGTCAGCTGTGTTTTCCCGTCAAGTTCATGGAACTAAAATCGGATACTTGACGGCACGAACACCACTGAAGTTTTACCTTCTCCAGCACTTCGGCAGGAGTCGAACAACGTTCGACAATACGAACGCCACATTGGCAGTAGGCCGTTCATGCATTTGAACAGTATGCGACTGGCCGTACAGCCCAAATCTGTGGAACTGTTTTGGGCATGAAAATGTGCATGCGGTCGGTCAAATAAGACTTCCAGCAAACTCCCGAATGGCTGAACGAATTCACATGATTTTTGGATATGTTTGTTCCCTAAGTATGCTGGTTCAGAAAATTTTATGCGAATGTGATGTATAATTTAAAAGTGATAGAAATTGTGTAAAAAGTGTATTTTTCGCTTGGAGATAATTGAGCTGATACAGTAATTAGCCCAATTATCTCCCAAACAGAGGGGAGGAATTTACTGTAATGAATGGGCGTGTTTAACTGTGTGTCTGTATATGATTGGTTGTTACGGTTGTGTTTTCAGTGCCCAACAAGGTCCATGTGGGTGATAACCTTGTTGGAAAATGTGTATAAAAGAAGCAATAAAGCCTCAGTGCATTCTGTTCCTGTTTGACCCTCAATACGTAGCCTCGTCTCGTTATTGTAGGGAACTGCTATATTCACACTAGGGATTGCTATACTTTGTATACTCCCTGAGCTCTAATCACTTAGCTCTTAAGAGCTGTTCCTGATACACTCTCCTGGAGGAGAGGTCTTTCCCACACTGCCCTGGAGGACAGAGGTTGATCCAGGGTGGAAGGAAGACGGATATGGTGCTTATGGTCCTCGGCGTCAGCTAAGAAGCATCCGTCAACGGGAGGTATTCGGTCGGAGTACCTGTGATCCGTTACAGGCATCATGAGAGTAACCAGTGGCTTTTGACAGAGGTAGGCAACCTTTTAGCAGCACTGTGCTGAAATAAGATTGTGATGTCCCGTAGCGTGATGGTCCTATTTTTTTTAAATTGAGGTGTGTATTCTGCTTGTGCTATTGATACTGCAGTTGCTTTGTATCGTTGTATTTGTGGTATCGTGTATGATACCTATGAATGTGGGCCGTGTATAGGGGCTGCTTGTGGAATTCGACAAACAAACACGTCACAGTGGCCATTGTGTGGATGGAAATGTCACATAGTGTGCTTGGTGGTGTGTATGTGCGGGGCTGTTTGGGGTATTGTACGTGTGAGCCTGCATGTGGGGTTGTGTGCATCTATGTGGATTGTTAGTGGTGTTGCGTTTGTGCGGATTGTGTGTATGTTTGTGTGTGGGCTGTTCATATTATTTGTAGGAGGGGAGGGTTATTCTGCAGCTCTGTGTATATCTGTCAGGATTATAGTTGATCCAGCACACAGAATAGTATCACACCTTGGACTAAAGATAACGTGTAACCGGACCTTAGAATGGCTGGACTTAATGTACTGCAGAATAGTCAAAATACTTGCCAAGGTCAGGGACACAGAATGAGACACAACGATGAGGAAAGCTAGAAGTCAAGGATACCCAAAATCAGGGAAGTCAAAACAAAGTCAAAGTCAAATACCAGAAAAACGCAATCAGGAACACGCTCTCAGATAACCAGCTAGTGGAAACCACGACAGGGCACTGACAAAAAGGTAATTTGGGTTTAAATAACCCTCTTTAGGCTGTAATTGGCTGTGTGTGACCTCTGACCCCAAAACGTGTGTGCGTGTCTATGACGTGAATCCGCACGTATGTCGGCGCCATCTTTGATGTTGGCAAAGGTAGGTTTCTTATAAAAGACCGATCTGCAGCAGCCAGCGTTCCTGAGAACGTTGCACCCACTGGGGACCAGAACGGAGGGAGACCGGGTAGCTGCCCACAGAGCCCAAGGTAAGTTTTAAACATCTCTGATGGTGTGACTGCTTAGTTTGAATGTAGCCACACCAACAGAGATGCCAGGAGCCGTGACAAAATCTAGCAGTGTGGGTGGATTCTAGTGGGGACCAGGCTGGCCAGGTACAGGTCAAGGATAGGAGTTGCAACAGCAGCTGTGGGCTGCTCTACTTCAGTGTGGATTCCTATTCACAAGTGCTTGGAGGAAGTGATCTGAGATCATTACCTCTATGTGCTGCATTGCATAGATTAAGGATTGACCTTCACCACCTTTTCCTATTAGCAGATATTTAAAGTGCTTGAGTGCTGTGCAAAGGCACCTCCAGTGTCATGCATGGCACATTTGCCATAGGTCTCCTACCCCTGTCCTAGAGTATAAATGAGGTTGAGTGAGGCTTTATGGAATAAATTTCGTTCTTCAAAGTGCACTTCGTTATTCTATTTCCATTGTTTAAAGGGTTTTTGTTGCCAAGGTGGGAAACAAAAATCAGTGATGCTGCAAAAAACAATTGGCTGTATTTACTCATGGGTTAGCTCCTCCTCTCACAGCAGAAATGACACAGCAGGAAACAGAACTCTGAAATTCGTATAAATAGATCCACCCATTCCCATCAAGCAGTCTTTTCCCCTGTCTTTCACAGCAATTTGAAGGGAGTGTGCTTAAACAGGCCTAGATTTCTCTTTTATGATCACCAGGCCAATATTTTTGTAGGCCTAGCCTAGGTTCAACCTCTAATCCCTGAAGACCCAGTAAACAGCACAGATGTAAGAATTGTCTCCCTGGGTACTGAGAGTTTGACATAACTCTGTCCACTGGATACATGTGACAGCGTTCCACTGGATACATGAGACCAAGCCAGGGCTAAACATCTTTCCATGAAGACCCAGTAAACATCACTTTACCTGTTTCATCTCCATCTCTGTTCTTCAGGCCTCACTTCACATTCACAGAACCAGCAATACCCTCCTACCCTCCCCTCCTCCTGCCCAGGTTCCCCCTAAATATATAGCATGATCCTCCAGCTGTTTTAGATTCTCACTCAGCTACCTCTTCATTCCCTTTATATTTTACCAATAGCCGCAACTCTCTGTCAACTTCTTTTAGCCATCACTTCCAAATTTCTCCTGCTACCTCTTGTCTCAACTGTATCCTTTAGATTGTAAGTTCATGAGCTATCTATATAATCACTTTGTAAAAAGGGCTTAAAAGGCTAGATATCGGCTTACAGGCAGGGCCCTCTCTACCTTTTGTATATGTCTGTGTATATTGTACGTCCTCCACTAATTTTACAGCGCTGCGGAATCTGTTGGCACTTTGTAAATACCAGTAATAAATAAATACCTGGTTATGCCTCTTTTATGTATACCACCATGTCCATGTCTGTTTTAAATCTCCCCAACTGGTGATGATAAATGGCATATGGGGTGTATATGGAAGCCAATAGGTAAGTTTATACATCTAATGATGCATTTTACAACAGAGTGCTGCTAATGAATATCCTGGTTGTATAATGTCTGCCTGAAGACCACAGTCCTGAAGACAGAGAAGAGGCAAATACCCACAATAAGATAAAACTTTCTTGGGTGACTGATTGAAGTACACACTTGTAAGGTGTGTTTAAAAGCCTAAGTCCATGTAGACACTTCCTATCAAGGCATGTGGTATTGATTGCTTTTACCTTTGCATTTTAGCACATATGTAGGCTTATTTCAGAGAGTGGAATATTGCACTTCATGTAACCTGGCCAAGCAGACCATGCCACGGTAGAGGATCTTTCTCTTCTACGCAGTCTGTGCCAGTCTGATTTGTGAGAGCACCAAACAGCTTGTTGTCAGAGGAAATAGAAGCTCCTCTACTGCAGTCCGCTCTGCCATGATAAATGTCTCCCTTCATGTCCAGGGTAGGTGCGCAAGGTGGTAAGAGAGAATGGCACACAAAAGGGCCTGTGGAATGGGACAATGACACAGACAGTGGTTGCTGAAGGGGACAATGACACACACAGAGGGGGTGTGGAAGGGGACAATGACAGACAGGGGTTGGGGAAGGGGACAATGACACACACAGGGGGTGTGGAAGGGGATAATGACAAAGAGATGGGCTGGGGAATGGGCCAATGACACACACACAGAGGGGCTGGAGAAGGGGCCAATGACACACGGAGATGGGCTGGAGAAGGGGCCAATGACACACGGAGAGGGGCTGGAGAAGGGGACAATGACACACGCAGAGGGGCTGGAGAAGGGGACAGTGACACACGGAGAGGGGCTGGAGAAGGGGACAGTGACACACGGAGAGGGGCTGGAGAAGCGGACAATGACACACGCAGAGGGGCTGGAGAAGGGGACAGTGACACAGAGATGGGCTAGAGAAGGAGATAACACACACACAGAGGGGCTGTGGAAGGGGACTATGAGACTCAGAGGGGCTGTAAAAGTGAATGACATATACAGAGGGGTCTGGGGAAGGGGATAATGACACAGAGATAGGCTGAGGAAGGGGACAATAACACAAAAAGACGGGCTGAGGAAGAGGACTATGACTCAGAAATGGGCTGGGGAAGGAGACAATGACACCGAGAGGGGATGAAGAAGTTGGAAATTACACAGAGAGGGGTTGGGGAAGGGTACAATGACACACACACGGGAGCTGAAGAAAGCGGACAATGACATACTGAGGGGCTGGAGAATGGGACAATGACACACCGCAAGTCTGGGGAAGTGGACAATTACACATAGGGGGGGTGGGGAAGTGGATAATGACAAACACATAAGGGCT